CCTGCCCCTCTATTTATATGTTGAGCCCTGGGGTCGAAACTTGGAGTAAAAGCCTCCACAAAGTCGGTTTCACCCGAAAGGCAAGAGTCCTTCTCGGACTCCAGGGCCAGACGCCAGGGTCCCTGGTGTCTGGGTCCCTGGCGTCTGGCCCCTGGACTCCGCAAAACTTCCTTTTGCGCTTTCCAAAAACCTTGTGGGCTTTCCCCTTTGGCCCAAATAAAGTGTTCTCGTACCCAAACATTTCGGGAAACATCCGGAACCCCTTCCGGTGATTTCCGGAACCCTTCCGGTGACCAAACACTATTATCCCATATATCAAACTTTATCTCCAAACCATTTCGGAGTTCCTCGTCATGTCTGTGATCTCATCCCGGACTCCGGACAACATTCAGTCACCAACATACATAACTCATAGTACTATATCGTCAATGAACGTTAAGCGTGCGGACCCTACGGGTTTGAGAACTATGTAGACATGACTGAGACACATCTCTGGTCAATAACCAATAGCGGGACCTGGATGCCCATATTGGCTCCTACATATTCTACGAAGATCTTTATCGGTCAGACCGCATAACAACATACGTTGTTCCCTTTGTCATCGGTATGTTACTTGCCCGAGATTTGATCGTCGGTATCTCAATACCTAGTTCAATCTCGTTACCGGCAAGTCTCTTTACTCGTTCCGTAATACATCATCCCACAACTAACTCATTAGTTGCAATGCTTGCAAGGCTTAAGTGATGTGCATTACCGAGAGGGCCCAGAGATACCTCTCCGACAATCGGAGTGACAAATCCTAATCTCGAAATACGTCAACCCAACAAGTACCTTCGGAGACACCTGTAGAGCACCTTTATAATCACCCAGTTACGTTGTGACGTTTGGTAGCACACAAAGTGTTTCTCCGGTAAACGGGAGTTGCATAATCTCATAGTCATAGGAACATGTATAAGTCATGAAGAAAGCAATAGCAACAAACTAAACGATCATCGTGCTAAGCTAACAGATGGGTCAAGTCAATCACATCGTTCTCTAATGATGTGATCCCGTTAATCAAATGACAACTCATGTCTATGGCTAGGAAACATAACCATCTTTGATCAACGAGCTAGTCAAGTAGAGGCATACTAGTGACACTCTGTTTGTCTATGTATTCACACATGTATCATGTTTCCGGTTAATACAATTCTAGCATGAATAATAAACATTTATCATGAAATAAGGAAATAAATAATAACTTTATTATTGCCTCTAGGGCATATTTCCTTCAGCTCTTTCCATATAAGGAGGGGCTATGGGGCTCTTATGCCCCTCTACTTTTGTAGACCTAAACTCTCGGTAGCAAAACACAAATCCCCCATTGTAATCCTTTGCATGAGGTATCTCATCATGAATACAAACACAAAACAGTACGTAGGATATTACTCCTCACCGTAGGACCAAGCCTGGGTAAACTCACTCTGCGACCTTCATTCTAGTAGTTCCATCCACGCTCGCTACCCTACCGAGGGCACTAACGGATTTATGCACCGTCAGTTGCATATACATTACTTTGGGAAAATTATACAAATCGAGTTTTGTATTATTAGATTTATTTATTTATTGAAGGGGAATTAGATTTTGGTTTTGTAGTGTGTGTTAGGGCAAGATAAACAACTGCATGTGCAAATCTCCATGTGTTCAAGGAAAATGTATAATTTTATTGTGCAATCTTGCATGCACAACCAAAAAAGAATTATGTAGCTAGGTTTTTAGGATGACATTGTGCATGTGACCAAGGTGTTGGTTGCATATAGCAAAAATATTATCTGCCATACCATATGTAACATTAACAAAACACTCTACTCCATGTGATACACTCCTATCCAAACAATGTCCTGTGTGTTAGGCAACACAAGTCATGCAAGGCCATATTCCATGAGACTGTAATCAAGCACGTGTTTGGGGGTGGGGGTAAGAATAACATCATAGGGAGATAGTACATGTAAATAAGGTCGTGCGAGGCAATCTAAAGGAGAAAAGCAATAAGAAATTTTTAAAAAAAAATGTGTATCCAATTTAGCCAACGTCAACTGTTGTAACCATTTACTATCACATGAAGCTCACACGAAGACTAGATGTCATGAGTTCACTAACTCCTTGTTAAGGAAGGAAATCAATTGGACTAACTTATATTAAAGCTCAAAAAATCATGTAGCTAGTTATGTTCCCACAAATTCATCAATATGCATAGGAAATAACTCCATCAAATGAGCATCGATCGACTTTTTTGAATGGAAATGAAGGCTCTTCAGGACAACAACCAGTCCTTACAAGGAATGGGATCTGAACTCCCGCAAAAGATCGGCCCACAATGCCACGGACTTTTGAATTTGTTTCACAAAGCAACAACCTAAAAAGATGTGTGTGTGTGGATGCGTTGTCATGGTTACCACCTTCAGGTTTCAAATTGTGTTCGCGAAGGATTAGGAATATAGAACCAGAGAATTTTCAATTTTTTCTTCAGGGTTTGGTTTTTCTTTAGTTTCCCTTCGTTTTTTTATTTTTTTTTCAATATACGGTGAAAAAATTAAATACACCTGGACATTTACTGAGTATATGATGAACTTTTTTCAGATATATGTTGAACATTTTATAAATACACACTAAAAGTTTTATTAAGTATACGATGAACTTTTTATATGCAGTGAAATTTTTAAAATGATATTGAACTTGTCTCTAATATACAGTGATATTTCAATATATTCTGGGATTTTTAAGAAAACATAATGTGCAGTTTTTCTAATGTACTATTCCGACTTTTCATATTAGTTTTCAATTCTTTGAGCTCTATCGAAAAAGTCGGCAATTTTAGAAGAAAAACAAATGCCATGAATACTGCAGAGAATAAACAAAGAAAACCCGCTCAAATGAGCTTGCCGACATGGGCTGGCCCATTTAAGCCTCACTTTAGACGTCGGATCGTTTATTTGACGCTAACGCGCATCAAATAGGAGCATTCACCAAACACCAGGAATGAAATTATCTCCTGGCTAATATATTGCCCGTGTACTGCAACGAGGACATACATATTCTTTAATGGTTCGACATCAATCTTGTCTGACATATATTTTACGTCCATCATATTCTGTATTTTGTTAAGATTTAATTTGATTTGGGTGTGGGTAGAGGAAGGCAACAAAAGTTTTGATTTAGTTCAGGTTTTCGTAAGATTTGATTTGATTTGTGTATGGATGAGGAAACGTAAGGAAATTTTGACTTAGTTGAGATTTCGTTAAGATTTAATTAAATTTGATTGAGTTAATGTAGGATGTGTTCTAGAAAAAAGTGCTGATTTGGTTTAAATTATTTCAAGTTACTCTATTTATGTCTTTATTTGTGTTGCGTCAGTTGACATTACTGAAAAACTCAAGTGAAACCAAAAAGGAAAGAAGGCATGGAAAAGAGAAAACCAAAGAAGTTAAGACAAACCTACTGAAATCACTAATCAAAATCTATCAACATGGGATCTAATTTCACTGCATGTGCGTTACTTGTCGCAACCGGGAGTTTTTCCTTTTTCGTACATTCGTTTATTCAAATCGTTTGATCTCTTAAATTGTGCATTTAAATCCTGACTCATTTTCACCGTTGGATTCCTCGTGTTGAGATCTTTGAAACTAAATCCCGTGTTGATAGGCTTTGACGAACTTTTTGTATGAAAAAACTAACAAAAAACAAACCGGAAGCTTGATTCTTTTTACTTATTTTCCTTTTTCCGAAGAGACATAGTTGTGCCTCTCGTGAAAGCAAATATGTGCCTCCACAAGAAGCAAATATGTGCCTCTCACGAAAGAAGAAAAAACGTGTAACTTTGCCTCTCGCGGAAGCAAGTCTGTGCCTCCATGCAAAGTTTGCGCCTCTAGCGGAAGAAAAAGAAAAGAAAACTTGATTTTTTTTTCTTTTTTCTGTCCTCTCACGAAAGCAGGTATGTGCCTCCGCGTGAAGTAAAATTGTCCCTCCCGCGGAAGCAAAAGAAAAACAGAACACATTTTTTTTCCTTTTCGAGAGGTACAATTGTGCCTCTCGCCGAAGCAAATCTGTGTCTCTACGAGAAGTAAATCGGTGCCTCTCATGAAAGAAAATGAAAAAACAAGCATTTTTTTTGCATGTAAAGAATCGTCAAAAACATTTTTTTCCAAAAACTGAAGGAAACCGGATAAAAACCGAAAAGCCAAGAAAACAAAAAGAATCATCTAAAACTCGATAACACGTACAGAAAAAAAATTCTAAAGAAGCGGCAGCATGCGACACGTGGTGATGGTGGTGGTGCACTCTCAACCCACCAAAAATGACCTTTGGGGGAGCCGCAACGAGTATCAGCTAGTTGCTTCCCCAAACCTGCCAAAAAAAATTAAAGTATGGAAAATCTTCTTTTGTGACAAAAATACAGACATACTCCCTCCGGTCCTTTTTACTCTATATATAAAAATTGTTTGAAATCAAACTTCGTAAAGTTTGACCATATTTATATAAAAAATATTAACATCTACATTTCTAAATTTATACAATATTAAAATTAAAGTCATGACGCATCTAATGTTGTTGATTTCGCATTATGAATGCTAGTATATTTTTTTATAAACTTGGTCAAAATTTACGAGGTTTGACTTCAGACAAATCTTATATGCGAACTAAGAAGGACCGGAGGGAGTACATACGGGCAGTTTGTTTATGTGTTCATACGGGCTGTCTTTTTTTTCCTTTTTTTTAGAGAGAAACCCACCTCACCTATCATGAATTAATCTCAAGCTCAGGGGCTGTCAAACGGGTTTGCAGAATGTGGCCTAGCCTTGGCCCAAGCGACGACATACTAGGTTTCACTGGGCCAAATGCGGAAACCCAAACGGTAACCAGACAGGCCATGGATTTTGTTGGGCAGACTCCTGCCTCCCACTGGAAAAGAAAGATAAGGCGGCCCCACCCGGCAGCGTCTGCTCTCAGCATCCGCAACGGCCATGGCCTTCGTCGCCATCCACGCCCGCCTCGCCGTCCTTCCCCCTCGCCTCAGCGCCGCCGCCTCGTCTCTCCGCTCCGCCCCTCCCCGCACCCGCCTCCCGCCGCTCAGGACCTCAACCGGACACGTCTTCCGCAGCCTGCGGTGCCGGCGCCGGCCGTGTCGCGCTCGCGCCGCCTCCATCTCCATCACCGCGTCGCTCGACCTCACCGAGGACAACGTCCGGCAGGCTATCGTCGACGCCAAAGCCGAGGCAAGCAAGACCTCCTTCCCTCCTCAAACCTCTCGTCCACACCGAAGTACCCATCTGTTTTGCACAGCCGCCCACGGCTCACGTCCAAATTAACTGACGAACGACATTGCTGTTGATCTCCTGCGCCGCGTTTCAGCTGGCTCAGCTGTTCGACACGTCGGTCGGCATAACAGGTGAAACATCCCACCCAATCCCTTTCGCGAACTGCACTGCAGCACCGATCCAGTCGCCCTGCTGAAGTTTGCATTTTCTTCCTCGTCGTGAATGGTGACTGATGATGGCAGGGCAAGTTGATCTGGCGGAGCTGGACGGGCCGTTCGTGAAGCTCCGACTGAAGGGCAAGTTCTGGCACACCCGCGCCACCGTCGTCGCGCGGATAGGCAACTACCTCAAGAACCGCATACCGGTGGGCTCTTTTTTCTTTCCGGCGTGCTATTCTTCCTCCTGGACCGAGCGCGGGGAGATTCTGTCACGATTATGATGAGTTCTTTTGGTTTGGCCAGGAAATCTTGGAGGTGGAGATCGAAGATGAGGACCAGCTTGACGACAGCCCCGCGGCTTACTGAGGTATCTGTTCCCCAAGTGTTCGCTGTTCGTTAACTATTTTGGTGTTGCATTGTACTGAAACTGTCCAACTTAGGTTCTAGATCAAACACCCGGGGTATTTTTCTAGTTAGCAGTTCAGCTATAGCACTCCCAGTATTAATGTAATGGCCTGAATTGCTGAAGTGAAGTTGCTGAAGGACCAAATACGCATACTAGAACCGATTTACTCTAACACCTTCCTTGCTATCATGGTATGGGACTTCAGGGATTTGCATTAGCATGCATGGATTGTTTGCACCAGCTACATTTTTTGGTTGCAGTGGATCTGATATTTCAATCTATTTGTTCAGGGTAATGAACTTGCAAGCTCTTGCTGAGGGTGCCTACTTTTCAGTACCGGGTTTGGTCAGCGTAGGATCATTCTTTTTTGTAAACGGAAAGGATATGGCAATGATGTTGTATATTTATTATGCGTTAGCTAACTCCTGCCAATGATGCTTAAGTTGGTGTGCTCATCATACTGAATTTGGAATGCCCACTGCATCAGTATGTTACTCTAGTCATGTGTTCATTATGTCTTGTGATGTGGACAGCCCCCGGGTAGAACTGAAAGCCCACAATCACTCACAGAATTGGTTCACATAATCCTACATGAGCCATTTTGTAATTCAATTGCTATTTCTGCCTACAGACGGATGCGCGTTATGTTATTCTGATACGTTGTTCTCGTGCTTCTCACGCCCACATATTGTATTTTTCATGTTTGAATAGAATTTTGGTGCTGTAAGTTTTTCTCTTACAGTCATATGCATCCTTGTGATGAAATGCAGAAGTCGGTACAGCATCCGGGTCGGGACACCTCAAGAGGGGCAGGGGTTCCTGCATTTCATTAAGAAGAGAGATGATCCGGTTTATAAGGGAAAGCAGACCTAAAAACAAACATTTCTCGGTTAATTA